TTTGAAGAACAGTGATGAACGGATCTTCAAGGGCTTTTGGGGTTTGATCTTGAATTGGTGGAAGTTCTTCAAGGGCCTTTGGGGCTTGATCTTAAATTGGTGGAAGTTCTTCAAAGGGGCCGTTGGGGTTGATCTTGAAGGTGGATGATTGTTGATCCAAGGGTCGTCGGGGCTTGATCTTGGAAGAACGATGAACGAAGAACGAAGAACGAAGAAGGCTTTCTTTATTTTTTGGGATGAACGGATGATGAACGATGAACACTTTCTTCAAGGGCCGTCGGGGCTTGATCTTGAATTGGTGGAAGTTCTTCAAGGGCCTTTGGGGCTTGATCTTGAAGGTGGAAGTTCTTCAAAGGGGCAGTCGGGGCTTGATCTTGAAGGTGGATGATTGTTGATCCAAGGGCCGTCGGGGCTTGATCTTGGAAGAACGATGAACGAAGAAGGCTTTCTTGATTCTTCGGGAACCTGGATGCTTGAGAGCTTTGGAGCTTCAAAGCTTGAGAGCTTTGGAGCTTCAAAGCTTCAGAGCTTCAAGGTGTAATATCAATTGGTCCAATGAAATGAATGAAATTGGCTTCTATTTATATAATTTTCCAAGGCCTAATTTTGAATATAATATTCCAGATGAAATAAGTCGTTTCTGCCAGGTGTTGACACGTGTCCTGTTTGATGACTTTTCCGATGATTCTCGATTTTTTGTTTAGACACACGCTACGTGTAAAATTTATGTAATACATGAGCGTTGAAACTTTGATTTATCGGTCAATATTTATTTACCGAAATTTCGATGTCTACATGATGGTCCGGAATCCTTTATACGCCGCGATTTCGTTGAGTGATGTTCCGGAATCGTATTTGATTTGGGTTTCATTTAGTTGTTGTTATACATTGTACTACACAATTCCGTTGAGTGATGGTCCAGAATCGTATCCACTTGGATTCTGTTGAGTGATGGTCCGGAATCCCTTTCTTCGGAGAAGTAGGTTTGATTTAATTGTGTCACTTTAGCCTTCATTTGAGTTTATTCCGAATAATGGGTTTGAGAATATTATGAATTGAAGTATAAAAGCGGTTGTACGTCTGTGGGATTCCATCGAGATTTTCTACGATTCAATTATAATTTCATAGTTTATGAATTTAGAAGATATGAGAATGAATGTTATTATTTTGACCATATTAGTTAATTAATGTGGCTAGAGGATGGTTTTGTGCGTTGTCGGTTCTTAAATATGATTTATGTTGTGAATTGAGATATCATGTTGAGTCATAGTGATTTATATGAAGGATGGAAGGGAAATCTTGATTTTTTCATGTGGGTTTGTTATGTTACCTTGAGTCCAGGAATTTTATGCTTGTCAAGTTCTATTGATTGATGTGATAATTGGATGGTGTTTGAACGCTTATGAGTGGATGAATGACGAGATGACTAAAAATTATTATTGTACTTTGTTAAATGTTCCTTGACGTGCTAAATGATTGAATTGTAGTATTATGTTGAGACATAGTGGTCTATGTGTTGAATGTTCGATTGAAGTGGAATAATGAACTACGAATGACTTGATCCCTATTGAGGGTACGTAGGCAGTCTAACGAGGAGGTTAGATGTAGCCATAAAATATACAAAAATTTCTATGAGATTTGGATCTTGAATTATGCTATATACATATCTAGGAGGCGGGGTAGGTTGAGATATGGGTATTTGGTAACGTCATGTGTCGATCCTGGACGTATGTCGGGATCGGGGCGTGACATGTAGTGTGCAAGTTGAGAATCAAGTCCCTCATTTAGTCTTCATTTATACCAAACTATTAGTCTGTTAATCCACTTATAAACTTGTACACATTTTTAGTATAAGAGTTATAAAAGCTTGCAATATTAAAAGACCTATAGCCTTACTATTTTATGAAAGTCGACAATCGCTCATTTTAATCGCACTTTGAAGATATTGCAGGAAATTACACACCCATTAGTGTGTTTATCATGTAATTATAATCTTGTACGACTGACAGACAATCCATTTAGAACAAGAATTATAAAAGGTTTAAGATTTGATAATATTTTTTTACGAATTTGCAAAATCGTCTAAAAATCGTGAGTGTTAGCCCACGTTTTTTTGTGTGACAAATGCAAATTTTGAATTTTTCAAGGGCATTAAGAAAATCTTTATAGGGCATCTGAAAGTGTTTCTACCAATTATTGAGCTACAAATGTATTTCTAATAGAATATTTTAACCCAAACCCAAAAAATAATTAAAAAGACAGTATTGAGGTCCAACATTGCCTAAACGGGGTATATACTCAAGAATATCAACCAAAACTCTTATATTAATCTTAGAAACATCACACTGAGGCAAAGATGAAAACTAATAGATTTAATGATGATTTGCGTACGAATTTGCAAAACCGAAGAAAAACAGTGAGCAACCACATTTTTTGTGAGAAATGCAAATCCTTAGTCTTCACAAAATATTTTTCGTTAGCATTAGGACAATATATTTATAAAGCATTTGGAAAGAGTTTTACCAATTATTGAGCCACAAATTTAGTTTTAATAGAATATTTAAGCCGAAATGTAACATTCCACATCGTCCGGGGGCAGTGGCGAAGCCAGGATTTTCAGAGGGAAGGGGCGAAATTCAAAAGAGTGTAAGGTTCAATCGAAGCAGTTACTTTCACATTAGATAGTACAAAGTTTTGACTCAATATTCATAGCAGAAAATAGTTTATCCACCCAAGCGGTTGTAAGCAATAATATCTAAGCCAATGTAAGAAACTTAAATTGGCTAGGATTAGATCCTAAAAAATGTTAGGTCCTAATCAAACAGCGGACTGAGACCTAGCAGCTAGGTGCCTAGACGATATCTAGGCGGGAGCCTAGATAGATTTAAATTATCGTAAAATAAGCATTAAACAATATTTACATTGTTTTTAAAAGTAATACAATATTTATAAAGAATGTGAGAGTTTAAGATAAATGTGATGGGATTCTTAAAAGACAAAATAAAAATACATACAAGACTAAAAAATAAAAGGAAAACTAAAGAAATGTCCAAAAAAACTTCATTTTTAATGAAAAGCCATTTTTAAAGATATAGTGAATAATACCAGGGAAATGTATAAATGTGATTTTTAGTTAAAAGTAAACAGTAACAGGAGTTTTTTTTTTTGTTAAAACTCCCAAAAATAAAACCACAAATACTTGTTATCTTGTTAACCAAGCACCCACCTTTAAAACACCTGTCCTTTAAAACTCTTCCCAAACACTTGTTATCTTGTTCACCAAACACCCAACTTTATCTTCAACCCACATCCAAACACCCATCTTCTTCCTTGCTTTTCTCCCAGACCCGACACCCCCAACTGCTTGTCGTCAATCTCACCCCCACACCTCCTCCATCAACCTCTCCTCCGTCCATCGCAACCGCATCTCCTTCCCCGTCGATCCCACTCCCACCCTCTCCTTCGTCGTCCCCACCGTAATCCCTTCTTCGACTTTCTTCCGGACCTCTGTTAATCTCCTCCACCATAAATTCTGACGAAAGCAGAGGGGCCGAACCAGCGCTCCTAGGCCTTTTTCCGGCGAGGGGAGGGGCGGGCGCCACTCCTCGCCCTCACGTAGCTTCGCCAGTGTCCGGGGGAGTGGATCATGTAAGCCTTATATGTATATTCCCAACTCTACCTAGTACGAAGCCTTTTGAGAGCTCACTAGCTTCGGGTTCCATTGGAACTCCGAAGTTAAGCGAGTTCGCGCGAGAGCAATCCCATGATGGGTGACCCATGGGAAGTTCTCGTGTGAGTTCCTAGAAACAAACCATGAGGGCATGGTCGGGACCCAAAACGACCAATATCGTGCTACGGTAGAGTCGTGCTTGGGATGTGGTGGGGGCCAGGGCAAGATGTGACACGAAACCTAAAAAATAAATGAAAAAAAATTGTAGTGAAGCCCAACTCTTTGCCTTAACAAGGGTCTATACTCAAGTATCGATGGAAAGTTATAAATTAATTTTAAGTGCCTCATTGTAAGGTGAATGTGAAAACAAATGGACTTAATGAAGATTTTTATACAAATTTACAAAATTGACAAACCACATTTTTTTTTGTGAAAAATGCAAATGTTTCATTTTCGTAAAAAAAAATCCATGACGTTAAGAAAAACTTAACAAGATATTTGAAAGTGGTTTTACCAGTTATTAAAGCCACAAATGTATTTATAGTAGAATATTTAAACCGAAACTTAAAAAATATGTGAAAAAAATTGTAATGAGGCCCAAAACGTTTCTCAAACAATGTTTCACTAGGGCTGGAAAAAAATACCAAAAATCCCGAACCATACCGAAACCATACCGAAACCAAACCGAAAAAATACCGAACCAAAAATCCCGAAAATTTTAGTACCGAAACCGAACCGATCCCGAATTGTTCGGTATGGGATCGGTATTACAATTTGAAATTTTCGGTATTCCCGATCCCGAACCGAACTTTATTAATATTATATTAGGTATATTATATATATATATGTGTGTGTGCATGTGTCTGTGTGTGTGTGTTGGCAATATTATATTAGGTATATTATAGGTATATTATATATATGTGTCTGTGTGTGTGTTGGCAATATTATATTAGGTATATTATATATATATATGTGTCTGTGTGCGTCAGTGTGTGTGTGTTGGAATGTGTGTGTGTATGTATATGCGTCAGTGTGTGTGTGTGTATATATGTATATGTGTCGGTGTGTGTGTATATGTATATGTGTCAGTGTGTGTGTGGTGTGGTGCTGACAAATGTTGCTTCAAGCACATGGGAAGGGATGGGTCACGCAAGGCTTTGCTTTCTGAAGACAGAGCCGTCTCTCTCTCTTCCCTATTTTCTGTCTCATCAGTTATCTCTCTACCTAATCCTTTATCCCTCTCATTTTTTCTGTCTCATCTCTCTCGTATTCTCTCTCTCTCTCTCTCTCTCTCTCTCTCTCTCTCTCTCTCTCTATACAACCCAGAAATCACCTAACCTTTCCTTCCACCCAATCCAAAACCAAGCCAAACATCCCTACTCATTCTCTCTCATTTCATTTCGCCTCTCATCTGCCTTCACTTCACTCAGTCTCAGACTCTCCCTCTCTTTCTCGGATTTGAAGCTTAGCAGCCACCCACCGTCTAGCAATCTGACTCCGACGAACTATCTCCACTCCGGCCACCACCACACCTCATGGCTTCATCCCCACCTCCGGTTCTCTCCAGTGATTCTCTGTGTGTGTGGGATTTCGAATTGAGGTTAGGGTTTTGAATTGGGGCTTAGGGTTTCGAATTGGGGGCTCGGGTCAGGAGGAGGTCCCTCTCTTCACTCTGCCTCTTTCTCGACCATAAATCTTTCACTGATTCACTATCACTATGTCTCTGATTTCAATTTGGATTTTTAATGCAGGTTCGGATGATTTCAATATTAATCTAAGACGATTTGGATTCTGATGATGTTCGGTTTCGGGAAATTCCGAAATACCGAAAATATTTCGGGAATCCCGAAATTTGGGAATCCCGAAATTTCGGTTCGGGATCGGTCATGAGATTTACGTCCCGAAAATTTTCGGTTCGGGATTTGATATGCCATTTTTGGTTCGGTATCCCATACCGAACCAGCCCTATGTTTCACCCTCAAGAAATATCAACATAAAGTTTTACGTTAGTCTTCAGAACCGAGTCATCTAGATATAGGTCTTATCAAACCAAGTCAATCAAATGATACAAAACTTTTAATTGCTAAAAAAAGACTCCACGCTCAGCTTACACGCACAGAAGAGACGTTGATGGAAAATGCGCACCCATCAATGTGTTCGATTTTGTAATTATAGTCATGTACAAGTTAGAAAGTCTTATTTTATGATATAAAAAGTCCTTATTTATCTTATATGAGCTTTGGATTTTATTTTTTTTATTTTGTAATGTGAATTACATCTACAAGTTGCAGAATTGGCAGAAGAGTTATACAAAGAAATCAAACCGATCAGCTAATTTAACAAATATTGCGCCACACCAATGAGATCAGCCGTGTTCATATCAATGAAAGAGATGGGAAACTCATTTGTCGAAGTTAATATTAATTAAAGACCATAACTTGAGCTAGCTTGTGCTTAATTTCTTACAAATAGGATAGCAGGTTTGAACTAAGCATCACATTCACAGCAAACAAATTAGATCATCAAGAGAGAATAAAAAAGAGAGAGCATCCCAATCCCAACTACACTACGATATGGCTCCACCTGTACTACCAAGCCCTTTAGAACCCCATGAACGAAGAATTCATAGTAATTCTAAGAAGGAAATTTTGCATAAAATAAAACTAAAGAAGAAGAACCAAATCAAATCCTCCCTGCCGCTGCTGCCCTCTCTACTTCACGCCAGCAGAAAAATCCCCCTCTTCCGCTGCTACCCTCTCTGCTTTTATCTGCGCCCAAGTCTTCCAAAAAATAGGAATTCCAGTCAATTTGAAATTCTTTCCGAAGATATCTCCACCGCCTATTGGTCTTCAACCTAATGCCTACTATCATCTCCAAGTTGAAGCAATACATGACACGAAGTCTCCAAAAGGTCTCAAAGCAAGTTCTAGAGATGCATCACATATAAGATTGCACACATGAAAAGAACAAAAGTGTATGAAAAATGCATACACTACATTTAGGCACAAAAGCTCACATGGGTGCGGGTTTTATTCAAGTTAAGCATGCTCAACTTAGTAAAATTTACATAATATCTACCAAAGGTTATTGTGCATCAAACACATCATGCTAGAATCATGTTATAAAGTGAATAAAGCTAAAACCCCATATGTTACCACACTTTTCTGATTCAAGTTATACAAGTTATTAACTCAATTTCGTCATGGAAATTTGGAAAGCGACTCAAAGGAAAAGGGAAAAGAGAAAGAAACATACAAAGAAATATTTTTAGGTTTTTTTTTTTAATTTTTTTTTTGTTATTTGTTTTTTCTTTTCAACTTTTAAAAACACCAAACTAAAATATCCTACCCCTAAACTTGAACCCAAAATTGTCCTCAATGTTAAAAAATATGGAATCGAACATGTAATTAGGACATAAAGCGGTATGGAATAGGAGTATAAAACAAAGAAAACAAAAGAAAAAGAAAAAAGTCAGGGAACTTCCTTGTTTGTAAATGTAGCTCTTTTTAGCAAATCATCCAGTGGATATGAATGGTGCACAAATGATATGGTCTCAGAGCATGCTTGCTGTTGTGGAAAAATTTGGGGATGGCAACAATAACCATCTTAATCTCATCCAAACTGCAAGCAAACATGCTGCAGTACACCACTTTGTTCGAATTTCCTTTCTCAAATTGGAATAGAGAGCCAAACCTGCAAACAGAACAAACACCAACGAGCAAATAAGCAGCAGCAGCGAAGCAATCTAATGGAAAAACTAACAAAAAATAAAACTTAAAGAAAGAAAACTAAGGAAAAGAAATTGGGTTGCCTCCCAATAGCGCTAAGTTTACTGTCTTCAGCCAGACACTGCTTTGTTCTAGTCGTTCTTGTACGCACGAACTGCAGGATGAATACTTTCAACGTGATCGGCACCAGATTGAAGGCCATGAGCAGGATACAAGTTGAATTTAGCCTTCATATCCCCAAAATACAAAGTTAAAACTCCAGTGTCACTTTGAATATTAGCCTTTGCAGTAGCTAGAATGGGACGTCCAAGAATAATCAGAATTTCAGTAGATGAATAACGCACAGGCCTTGTATCAAGAACAATAAAGTCCATCAAATAATAAAATTTGTCAATTTGCATCAACATATCTTCACTAGCACCACATGACTTCTTTACAGATCCATCGGCAAATTCCAATGTAATTGGGCTTCGTTTCAGTTCCCCAAGACCCAATTCCACATAAACTGAATATGGCATTAAATTCACGCTTGCTCCATGATCAACCAATACTTCTTCGAATTTATGACTCCCAATGACACAAGATAGTGTAGGAATTCCAGAGTCCTAAAGCTTTGATGGATTTTTCCATAGATAGATATCACTCAACTTTTTGGTAAGAAAAACCTTTTCTTTGCCATTCAACTTGCGCTTATGTGAAAAAAGACCCGTGAGAAATTTGGCATAGGAAGGGATTTGCCTGATAGCCTCAAGTAGTGGAATATTGATGTGGACCTTTTTCATGAGCTTTTTAGCCAATTGTCCCCAAGCAGTGATGGAATTGGCAGGTAATGAATGCAACCACTTTTTGGCATCTCTTTTTAAAGAAAAAGGGAATAAAAGCAATTTAATCTCATCGGCACTAAGTCCCCTAATGTGCTGCATTTTACATATGTCGAAGAACTCTTAAATGTGTGCATAAGGATCTTCTTTTAGAGATTCTCCATTGAAGTGAGGAAGCATATTGAGCAACTAAGGAGATAACATACAAGTTCCATCAATATTTAGTTGGAATGCAATGCACGAGGGCTGATCCAAATCCTGAGGGTCAAAAGAATCCTTCATCGGCCTTCTAACGAGCACAGTTTCCTAATCTTGCTCAGCCATCTCTGATTCTTTTTCAGAAATTGGTGTTTGAGCACCTCTCCTTGAGATAAATGTTTCCGTTGCTGGTTTTGTAGCGTCTGCTCAAGTTCGTGATCAATAAGAATAAGTGCTAGATTGAGTGATCGATCTCCTTGCATCTACCATAATAGAACAAAACTAAGCAGTACCTAAAAAAACCAAACAAAACTTAAGAAGGAAGAACACATGGAAGAAAGGATAGAAAAAAAAATTATTAACAAATAAAATTATAAACAAACTATGATAAGCAACAATTAAAGTTTAAATTGGAAAAAACAATCCCCGGCAACAACACCAAAAACTTGATGTGAATTTAAACTAACCTAATAAATAGATTAATTCAAACCAAATTTACTCGCAAGTGCACGAATCAGTTGTAGTGGAAAAACGGGCGTACGTTGGATACGCTTTGGAACTTAAGCAAATAAACACATATAATACGTTAATAAGACATTAAAAATGAGATGTCAAAAGGTCAAATGCTTATTTGGTGTTAAATTACTCAATTTGGAGTGTATTTGCACTGTTTTAAGCATTCGTGGTTTAAAACAAGCGTGCGTTGGATACGCTTTGGAACTTAAGCAAATAAACACATATAATATGTTAATAAGACGTTACGAATGTGTACTCAGAAGATCAAATGCTTATTTGGCGTCAAAAGTACACTATTTGGAGTGTATTTACACTGTTTTAAGCATTCGTGGTATAAAACAATCGTGCGTTGGATACTCTTTGGAATTTAAGCAAATAAACGCATATAATATGCTAATAAGACGTTATGAATGTGTTCTCATAAGATCAAATGCTTATTTGGTGTTAAAAGTACACTATTTGGAGCGTATTTGCACTGTTTTAAGCAATCTTGGTATAAAACAAGTGTACGTCGGATACGCTTTGGAACTTAAGAAAATAAACACATAAAATTCGTTAAGAAGACGTTAAGAATGAGTTCTCAAAAGATAAAATGCTTCTTTGGTGTCAAAAGTACACTATGTGGAGTGTATTTGGACTGTTTTAAGCATTCGTGGTATAAAATGAGCGTACGTTGGATACGCTTTGGAACTTTAGCAAATAAACACATATAATACGTTAAGAAGACATTAAGAATGAGTTCTCAAAAGGTCATTTGGCATTAAAATTACACCATTTGGAGGGTATTTGCACTGTTTTATGCATTCGTGGTATAAAACAAGAGTGCGTTGGATACGTGATGCGAAAATAACTTAACACACAAATTAAACCCTCTTGTTGTCAATTGTAGTAAAGAATGTAAGTAGGGATCGTTCTAGGCCGGGGATTAGGAGGGATTGCTAAAACACTTGAAACTAACTTAAATATGTGAAAACAAACTTAAAAGCATGAAATTAAACTTACAAGACTCAAAACAAAGTCACAAGACTCAAAATAGATTATAGAGACTCAAAACTGCCTAAAAACAACTCTAAGGCAGTTTCTGCCACTAACACAAAGTTTGGACGAAAATTGATTTTATCTTGACTTAAAACACTTAAAAACACAATCTAAAACAAGTACTAACTAATATGACTTAATAAAATAAAGGGGATTTTGGTTTTGGACGAAAATAAGGAAAACAAAGCAAGAACAATTTAAACAGATTCTTAGACAAATTTAGGTGAATTGATGGGTGATGGGTTAAACTATGGATGATGGGCTAGCTAGAGGGTACTTCTCCACACATGACATACTTGCACATAAACCAATTTTTCAGTTGTTCTTTCGTTCAATCATGAAACTGAACACCCCATGTTAATTAAGTCCGCTTAAATTAACCTTCAAGTTCTCCTTAAGTTATTGAATTGGAAGGGAAAACGCATACAACAATTCAAGCACTCTTCAAAAGTCCTTTACGTGAACAACACAATAAAAATACAATCAAAGATCATTAAGCATCATGAAAACTATAAGTATTGACGAGGCATTCGTTGCTATGATGAGCATGAAACTCCTGCCAATAATTCATTTAACACGATCGTTTATAAGCGACCTCCACTACTTGTGAATATAAATTTGTAACTATTAGATGAAACTCCTTTATACTCTAGCATCATATTCATGTATGCAAACTAAGTGTGCACTCTTAATAAACATACACGAATAAGTTATCAATCAAGCAGTTAAACAAATTGAATTCACAACTTATGAAATCACAACTGAAGGTAATCAAATCATATTGCAAGTATGAACATGGTTTCGAATCCCCCCCCCCCTTGCTAAGGGGGGTTTAGTTCCTCATACTTACAAAGCAAAGATAAAACAATTTAGACATTGAAAACAAAAGAAAGAAAACACCTAAACGCTCCAATGATCCAAGTTGGACAG